GGGGGCTAACCTGTGCTAGCGCTAGGCGCTGCCTTACCCCCGTAGGGTGCCGAGGCCCGCACCCCCCGGGGGTGGGAGGGGGTGCCAGGCCACTACCCCCTAAATGGATAAAAAAACTTAGACAAAATGCTATTAGTAGACAGTGAAATGTCTGAAACGAGGACACTTTCTACATCGCCCTTCTTATGGCCACCCAATGGCCTTTATATGTCCATGAAGTACATGGCTCCCGCATCCAAGTACTTACCTGCAAGTATTTTTCGTTGGTTTGACCCTTTGTCGAGGACATCCATCGAAGTCCCGGTCGGGGCATTACCACTTTCAGAATTCCCCATTTCAATGGGGGAGGGGAGGGTCATTTTCCATCGTCGATAATTATCTCGGTTGTAGACCGTAATTAATGTCCATTGTTTACCACCATTCATCGAGGCCATCCATCGATTTAAACTCTTAGGTCTCCGATTGTGTCTCGCCGAAGCATCATCAGGGCATCGCCGGAGCACCACCGGGAACCTTACCAGTGGTGGGGGACTCCGGTGGCCGATATGGGGCTGTGGGTAGCGTCGGGTCATGTTGCGGTAACAAACCCAGGGGACCTTGTCAGCTCCTCAAGAACCAACCCCCCTAAAGAGCTAAAAAAACTTAGGTAAAATGCTACCAGTAGACATTGAAATGTTTGAAATGTGAACACTTCCTTCCCCACGCACCAGGGAGCCGTACGCCCCGCCCGACCTGTGGGAGGCTCCCGCACCCAGCGCTCGGGTCTGTGCAGCACTCCCGCACCAATGGCTTGGGGTTACTGAGGTACCCGTCGAGGGTTGCCGATGGTGACCGAGGCCCTCGCACCCAACTCTCAACTCTGTACGGGACTTCCTCACCCATGGCTTGGGGTTACCAAGGCACCCGTCGGGGATTGTCGATGGTGACTGAGGCTCCCGTACCAATGGTCTGGGGTTCCCGATGGTGACCGAGGACACCCACCTGGGATTGCAGATGGTGCCGAGACACCCGTCTGGGTTTACCGATGGTGACCGAGGCCATCCACCTGGGATTGTTGACGGTGACCGAGGCTCACGCACACGGGGCCCTGATGGCGATCGACTCTCTCCCACCCAATGGCGTGCTTATTGCCTGACATGTGTGAGTCTCTAACACACGTTAGCGTGCTTTCTACCCAATGTTGTGCGAGGCTACTACACCACCATGCTTAGGACCCCTCGATGGGGTTTTCTTCAAGTATCGTAAACTTTAAATTTTCCTAAGTCATGGAACTTGTAGAAGAGAGAAGATTGAAATATATGTCGTATTGGATCAGAAATGTCGTGCCTTAGGAAGGGTCCCCGTTCCCTCTTGTCGAACCCCTGGATTTCCAACATAAACAATTAGGGATATGAAAGATGGGGGAGGGACGAATGGAAGCGACAAAGGGCTGAATCTTAGTGGATCGTGGCAGTAAGGCCACTCAGCCAATTACAATACCCCATTGCGTATTTAAGTCATCTGCAAAGGATCTACCCGCCGTTCGGTGGAAATTATGTTCCAGGGAGCCACGTGTGACTTGCTCGATGCACGCGCTGCACCCACGACTCGTGACCTTAAGGGCCGGGGGCCCTATTGCGGGTCAATAATCGGGCGATAGGTGCAATCGTTGCTTCTATCCCAGATTCTGACTTAGAGGCATTCAGTCATAATCTAGCGCACGATAGCTTCGCGCCACTGGCTTTTTAACCAAGCGCGATGACCTATTGTTTGAATCAACGGTTCCTCTCGTACTAGGTTGAATTACTATTACGCCGCCACCATCAGTACGGTAAAACTAACCTGTCTCACGACAGTCTAAACCCGCTCACGTTCCCTATTGGTGGGTGAATAATCCAACACTTGTTGAATTTTGCTTCACAATGATAGGAAGAGCCAACATCGAAGGATCAAAAAGCAACGTCGCTATGAACGCTTAGCTGCCACAAGCCAGTTATCCATGTGGTAACTTTTCTGATACCTCTAGCTTCAAATTCTGAAGGTCTAAAGGATCGATAGGCCACACTTTCACGGTTCGTATTCGTACTGGAAATCAGAATCAAACGAGCTTTTACCCTTTTGTTCCACACGAGATTTATGTTCTCGTTGAGTTCATCTTACGACACATGCGTTATCCTTTAACAGATGTGCCGCCCCAGCCAAACTCTCCACCTGAAAATGTCTTCCACCCGGATCGACCGACAGAAGCCGACCTTGGGTCCAAAAAGAGGGGTTGTGCCCCGTTTCTGAATCACGGAATAAGTAAAATAACGTTAAAAGTAGTGGTATTTCTATTTCGCCCGAGAGCACTCACTTATCCTACACCTCTCAAGTTATTTCAAAAAGTCAGACTAGAGTCAAACTGAACAGGGTCTTATTTCCCCGCTGATTCTGCCAAGCCCGTTCCCTTGGCTATGGTTTCGCTGGATAGTAGACAGGGACAGTGGGAATCTCGTTAATCTATTAATGTGCATCACTAATT